CATACGTCACCTTCACCATGTGTGCACGTTCTTTCTCCGTCTTTGGTGACTGTTCTTTGGAGAGTCTAAAATGAACACCTAAAGGTGTACTTACTGGTTTAGCATCTTGCATGTTGAACCTGGAGAGTACTTTGTTGATGTACTCAACCTGTGATAACATCAAAGTCCCCGACTTTGTGTCTCTCTTGATCCTCATCCCAAGAATCTGCTTTGCTGCACCCAAATCTTTCATTGCAAACTGCTTTGACAATTTTTGCTTCAAGTTTATAGTCTCTTGCATGTCTGAGCCTGCAACGAGCATGTCATCAACGTACAATAATAAAATAATGAAGCTATTGTCGAACCTCTTGATATAGCAACAATGATCTGCTTGGCATCTGGTAAAACCACTGCTACTCATGAAGCTGTCAAACTTCTTGTACCACTATCTAGGAGCTTGTTTTAAACCATACACGCTCTTCTTCAACCTGCATACCAGGTTTTTCTTACCTACCTCTATGAAGCCTTCTGGCTGCCTCATATAGATTTCTTCCTCCAAATCACCATGAAGGAAAGCTGTCTTTACATCTAACTGCTCAAGATGTAAATTCTCTGCAGCTACAATTTTCAACACCAGTCTGATTGTAGACTGTTTTACGACTGGAGAGAAAATTTCATTGTAGTCAATACCTTCTTTTTGCTGAAAGCCTTTGACAACCAATCTTGCTTTGTAGCGTTTGCTCCCATCGTGCTCTTCTTTGATCCTGTAAATCCACTTGTTGTGGAGCGCTTTCTTGCCTAGTGGTAATTCAGCTAATTCCCATGTCTGATTTGACATAAGCGAGTCCATCTCATCTTTCATGGAAGACTCCCACTTGACTGAATCCTCCACTTGCATTGCTTCATCATAGCACTCTGGTTCACCATTGTTAGTCAGCAACAAGTAGTGCAAAGAAGGAGAATACCGTTGGGTTGGTTTAGGAATTCTGGATGAGCGTCTCAGTTCTGGTGTGCTTGGTTCTTCTTGAACTGCTTCAGGATTGATCTGAACATCATTTCCAGAAATCTCCTCAAACTCAGTAAATTCCTTTGTTTCAGCTTTGGTATTGGAGCTGCTTGATTCTACAGTTGACCTGTCTTTGTACATCACGTTCTCATTGAAAATGACATATCTGCTTCTGATTATCTTCCGATTTTCATAGTCCCAAAACCGGTAACCGAACTCATCACCGCCATAACCAACAAAGGCACATTTGTTGGACTTAGCATCAAGTTTACTTCTTTCAGCAGAGTCTATGTGTACATAAGAAATACAACCAAACACTCTTAAGTGTGAAAGGTTTATTTCTTTCTTGCTCCAAACTTCCTCTGGTATTCTACCATCCAAAGGAACTGAGGGCCCATGGCTGATCAGGTAAGTTGTAGTGTTGATAGCTTCAGCGCATAGAAATTTGGGTAATCCGACATGTATCCTCATACTTCTGGCACGTTCATTCAGAGTTTTGTTCATGCGCTCTGTTACGCCATTCTGCTGCGGTGTCATGGGAACTGTTGTCTCCATCTTGATCCCATTGTTTGCGCAAAAATCTCTGAATCTCCTATTTCTGTACTCTCCTCCATTGTCAGACCTCAACCGCTTGACTTTTAGACCAGTCTCATTTTCCACCATGGCCTTCCATTTTCTGAAGGCATCAAAGACTTCTGATTTCTTCTTCAGAAAATAAACCCACACATTCCTTGTAGAATCATCAATGAAGGTGACATAATATAATGAGCCTGCAAGAGATGGAACTGGAGATGGTCCCCATACATCAGTATGAACCAACTCTAACTTTTCTGCCTTGGGTGTCTTGCCAATCTTTGCAAAACTGACTTTCTTTTGTTTGCCAAAGATGCAATCCTCGCATAGTCCGACATCTACATTCTTTAGATCCGACAGCTTCCCTTTTGACAAAAGTGTCTTCATCCCTTTCTTGCTCATATGGCCAAGCCTTTGGTGCCATAGGTTTGATTTTCCATCAGCATCTGTGGCTGCAATGATATTCTCTAAATTTGAAGTTACATAGAGAGTACCAGTCTTCTTACCATGAGCAATGACGAGTGCTCCTTTGGTAATCTTCCATTCACAGCCTGAAAAGGTTGTACTATAACCTTCTCCATCAAGCTGTCCTACAGAAATCAGATTTCTTTTGAGGCCAGGAATATGTCTCACTCCTGTCAGCTTCTAGGTGGTCTGGTTTGGCAGCTTTAGTCGGATGTCTCCTTTTCCGACGATCTTCAAGGTTTCATCATCATCTAGATGAACCTTCCCAAAATTACCACTGACATAGTTCTCCATGATTTCTCGGCATGGGGTAGAGTGGAAAGATGCCCCTAAATCCAAGATCCATGATTCAATCGGACTGTTGACGCTTAGAATCATGACATCATCTGTCTCCTCTGTCATGTTTGTAGATTCTTGTGCGACGGTATCTTTCTTCAGTGCTCGATAATCCCTTTTAAAGTGACCATTCTTGCCACAATTATAACAGGTAAAATCTTTCTTTCCCGTTCTTGATTTTCCCCATCTGGATTTCGATCTGCCACGATTTAAATTTCTTTCTGAAGTTCTCCCTCTGGACTCCGTGTGCAAGGCTGAGGAGGTTGATGCTTCACCCGATTATGTCCGTCGAATTTCTTCGCTCAGTACCAGATCCCGAACATCGTCGAATTTCAATTTACTATTTCCCGACGAGATGCTAACTGTTGTAACAGTAGTATTCCAACTGTCTGGTAGAGATGATAAGAGAATTAAAGCTCGAACTTCATCATCAAACTCAATTTCCATGGAACTCAACTGAGTTGTGATAGTGTTGAGTGCATTTAGGTGTTGAGCCACTGATGCCCCTTCCATCATCCGCAAATTGAATAATCGCCTCATCAAATGAACTTTGTTTGAGGCTGAAGGCTTCTCATACATACTAGAGAGAGCCGCCATAAGACCCGTCGTGGTCTTTTCCTTTGCTATGTTGAAAGCAACATTGCGGGATAACGTCGGTCGGATAACTCCGAGGGCTTGTTTGTCGAGAAGAGCCCAGTCTTCATTCTTCATGCCCTCTGGTTGCTTTCCTGAGAGGGGTTGATATATATTTTTCTGGTACAAAAAATCTTCAATCTGCATCTTCCAAAAGCCAAAGTCCGCACCATCGAACTTTTCAATTTTCACATTCCCTTCGTCTACAGCCATCGCTCCCACTCGAATCTGGATTCGTTTGGATCGTTTCTGACAATTCTTGCGAACCACCGTGTATTAGAACACCTCCGTCGACAAATTCGTATCGCCGACAAAATTTTACTATTCACGAAATTTACTATTCATGTGAACAGTAATGAATAGTAACATCGTAAAAATTGACAAAATTCACAACCAAAAGCTCTGATTACCAGTTGTTGGGAAATAAACCGAGTACGAGTAATTTCCCTATAGCCAGATTAGTGAGAATACGAAATAAAAGCGGAAAAATAATACCCGAAAAATTGATAACGGAGTTCAGCCAATTGTGCTTACGTCTCCGGACTGCTGCAGATCTTTTACTAAAGAGAAAAAATTACAGGTGTTTACAAAACACACTTGAGAGAGAACTTGAAGATTTTGGGATGATTTTGAAGCTAAATGGGCTATGGTATTTATAGTTGAAGCTTAAAGACTAATCTTGTAAATACCCTAAAGTGTGCAATGACTAAAATTTAATTAACCCCTTTATTAAAATCAACAAATGTTGCACCATTTTTTGACAATTTGCACCGAATTCTTCTGCCAGCAAAACCATTCCCCTTTTGTTGAAAAATCAACTGGCGGTGCCCACCCTTTTTTACTTTACACCCCCAATATAAAGATAACTATTCCAACTTAATTTACTCCGTCCACAATGTCAAAATATGAACTTTTGACATTATTTAAAGAATTCAATATCTAAACAAACTTATTAGTATACACCCAAAATTCTATTTAATGGTTAATCCTTGTTATTCTCTTGTACTCTAAATTTGAGATATATGCTTTTGTGAATAAAAATGAGATTTTCTTTATAAATTTTAAATCTAATTCTAATTCTAATTCTAATTCAATATAGAAGGAAGGAAAGTGAAACTCTAGGGTAAAGTACATAAATGATCATTTGACTATAGAACATTATTTTGTTTCTAAGAGTTATGGGATATTGGGTAAACTACACAAATGATTCCCTGACTATAGTGTGTTGTTTTGTTGAGTAATTTAACTATTAAAAGTTATAAAATAATCTCTTGACTATAAGGTATTACTTTGTTGAGTCTTACAATTATTAAAACTTACAAAATGATCACACGACTATTCATATGTTCCAAATTTATCATTTTCCATTAAAAAATTAACGATCTTTTGAGTTGGACGTTAATCTAATGACCATATATGATAAAATGTGATCCCAAAATTATTTGAAGTGTATTTTATGGATAAAGTCTTCATTTACATTTATGTCGTCGAGTCAGTGCTTGAAATATTATGTCGTCGAACCAGTACTTAAAAGTAATGATGATGGCAGTAGACATCATTAAAATATAATTTTATCATATTTCAGTCAGTAGATTAACATTCAACTCAAATAACCGTTAATTTTTTGACAGAAAAGTACAAGTTTAGAACATATGAATAATTGGGTGACCATTTTATAACTTTTAATAGTCAAGAGACTCAACAAAGTAATATCATATAGTCGAGAGATCATTTTATAATTTTTAATAGTCATAAAACTCAATAAAGTAATTCACTATAGTCGAGAGACCATTTATATGGTTCAACCAATATTTTATTTATGTATATGGCCTCATGGACAAAATAACGAATGGCCATGGACAAAATAACGAATAAATAAAAGAATAATGTAAATTATGGATCGTTGCGTGGGAGTGCGGGACAAAGACGAATGAGGGGCAAGCATCTTAGTCCACATAATAAAAGAACCAAGTGAAAAAAAGAAAGCCCTTTCCTTTCCGTAGTATACGATACAAAGCGCCATTCATTTTGTTTTCTATAGTCTGGAGAGAAAAAACCCAAGGTGAATAACATGGAGAAGGTGGAGGAATCGATGAATAAAGTGGAAGAAGAAGTAGAGAGGGTGGTGGAGCAAGCCAGAGAGTTGCAAGAATCTGGCGCTGCGCTGATTTCCATTATATCCAAAGACGAACAATCTATTCGCCTGAAAGCTAATTCTCTTGAGTCATCTATTCGCCGCCTCCGTTCCTCCATTACTTCCCTTCTCTCTCAAAAGCTTTTGGATCCCAAACTCGCCGAAAAGGTGAACTCCCCCTCCCTACCTTGCATGTTCCTTTTTCGATAATTTCTCGTTTTTTCCCCTTCTTTATTTAATCAAGTCTTAGGTCTTGACCCAAATTGAAAAACTGATATTTGGATCCGAAAACAGCTTGAAGAGGATTTACAGACAGCCAGATGTATTATAACCAACGGAGATGCCGCTAGTTTTCTTCCTGCCAAAGCTCATGGTATAATGATTTCTTCTCTCTCTCTCTCTCTCTCTCTCTCTTTGTTTTTCACTTTTTAAAATTTTACTAATTTCTTTCCTTCTGATGTTAGAGAGATCTTAATTGATTATTAATCAAATGGTTATTGGAGAATGACAGGTAAATTTCTGAGGATGTTCTTGGGACCAATCAATGTGCGTGCAGCTCGCAAAGAGGTCCAGTTGAAAGTGAAGGAGGAATATAACAGCTACAGAGTAAGCATCACTTTCCTATAACCCATTTTTGGTTATTTTTAAAATCCTGTTTTTTTGTTGCCTTGTGGTTGCATCCCTATATACTCTTCAATTTTGTAATTGCAAGCCATTTCCCTTGTATAGGAATTCAACCCAATAAGCACATGTAGCCTCATTTTTACATTTCAGTTTGTTGTAGAAGTTTTTCGAATTCATGATTTATTTCTGAATTGGTTTTTTTCCCAAGCAAAGAGGAAATTTTTAAAATTTGACTATCTGTACTTACTGAGTACTATCTATCTCCCTTCAACAGGATAGGACTGCCTTCCTTTTTCTTATTTTTCCATTAATTCTGCTTATTTTAAGATCTTGGATATGGGAAGGATGCTTGCCTGCATTTCCAGTTCAGTTGTATGAGGTATTCTATACATTTTCCTTTGCGTTTTTTGTTCGAGATTCAGCTCATTTCTTATTGGTTTAAAGCTGAGTATATTCTTTGTCAGGCATGGTTGTTATTCCTTTATACTGGTTTGGCTTTGCGAGAGAACATATTGCAAGCAAATGGAAGTGATATTCGTCCATGGTAATTGAATGCCATCTTTTTTTCTGTCAAATGTTTCCCGCGTCAAGCATGTTTACGTTCTAGGTTTGTTTTGTACAAATGGGACCTTTTCATGAAAAATGAAATTGTTGTGTGCAGTATTTTTGAGATTATAGTAACTTGAGAGGTGTTTTTGTGTTCACGTAAATGGTGAATTCTGGACAATACGGCATTGGAAAATAGGCCTATTATCTAACCAATCATATGGCATATCTACAATTTGTTACTCTTGTAAGGGTCACTATATGCTTTTAACCTAGGTTTTCTTGGTCTGTGATGTGATGCCTGGAAAGGCACGGTGTTCAAAAGACCTCAGAAAATTAGTTTCCTTGTTCTGGTGTATGTTTATGCACACTAATGCTAATCATCCTTTTCCTTTTGGAGTAATTATGCTATGTTAATAAGTCTGTCCTGCTCTTAGGTCGGGGAACATGTACAACTGTTTAGGACTACTGGATGAGATGGTTGCACCATAGGGCGTAGAGAGTGCTTACTTGTGTATGAATACGTGGGTGGGTGGGTGGAGAAGTAGAGGCTAGGAAGACACTTGGGAAGGATTGGATATCATAAGATTGTCAATTTGGAAAGATAGGACATAGGAGGAGGAAGTTCATGAGTATGATTTTCTATCTTATCATAATGATGAAGCTGTTGCTCATTAAGTTCTGAAGGGTGGAGTACATCCTCTCAACTGTTTCTGCGAGGAAAGAGAAAGATAATGGTGTCCTTTATCTTGTTAAGTTTCTCCTTTAGTTACAGTTTCGGGAATGATTTTATGTTCTATTGGGACCATTTTCTTCTGCTCTAGATGGTTTATCTTTTTTATCTTGAGATAAAATGTTTAGATCCTTCATTAGGCATATGGTTGTAGCCCTATTGCTCATAGTTTGATGCCTGACACGGTATCTTATTTTTAACTTCTTAATATCTCGTCTTATCTACATGCAAGATTTGTATGAGAAAGGGTACAAATTGACTTGCTTATGGTTATGTATGTGCATTTTGCTTGGTATATGGCCCTTCTAATTTGTTTGGTGCATCAGTTGCGACTTCAACCTATAAAAATCAGTTGCTTTCATGTAACCTTTATATTAGAAAAAGTGGCTGGGGAAAGAGGTTTTATACATGACTGTTTTCTCTGGGTTATTTGAAATTATTCCAATCCACTTAGTAAGCTGCTTTTTAGCCATGAAGCATCTAGAATCTACATTATGATTATGTTTTGATGATTTTGTTGAACTTATTGTTGAGTCCAATTTTCGTTTTATGAAATTACCTTTAGAAATATTTTGAAGATTATGCTCACAACAGCGTGTGAGAATTTTCGTTGTTGATGGTGTTAGTTAATATCAATTCTAAAACTTCATATGTTCATTCTCAGTGTCTGTAGTTTGTGTCTGTGCATGGCATTTTCTTGGTTAGTTTTCTATTTGATTGATGACTGAATGATATGCTTCCTCAGGTGGATATATCATCACTACTGTGCTATGGCTACGGCCCTTGTTAGTCTCACTTGGGAGATTAAAGGACAACCTAATTGTTCTCAGAAGCAGGTTACTGTTCTACCATTGTGCACTAATTATATTTTCCATGTCACCTTATTAATAAAGTGTTAAAACCTATTCAGCGAGGCGTAGAACTTTTCCTTCAATGGGCTATGATGCAAGGAGTTGCCATGCTTCTGCAAAATCGATACCAGCGCCAGAGACTATACACTCGTATTGCCCTAGGAAAGGTGTTATTTCTGTTACCACGTAAAAAAATTATTGTTTCCTTTGTTCAACATTAATTATTTTTGCATACTAGCTATGACATTGGTTTTGAATCATGTTTTGTTCCTTTGCATGTTAGAAAATCTTTTTACCTTTCTTTGCCATGAGTATCAGCTATCATGCCTCCATTTCCAATTCTTAGTTTCATAGATTCTCAATTCTAATATTTGGTTTTCTATTATTTTAGGCTAAAAGAATGGATGTTGTTTGGGGGGAAACATCTGGTGTAGACGGCCAATTGTGGATTCTATATCCAATACTTTTCCTGATGCAGGTAATCCAAGCTAGCATTTGACTGATGGCTGAGAATGTGTAGATGACGTCTAAAAGACTAAAACCTTCAGTTCAATATCAGATATTTGTTGAGATAGTGTCTATGATTTCCACAAGTATTTTACATGTCATGTCTACAAATAAGTTGATCTCTTCTTGGTATGAAGTTTTAATCTTTGGCGTTGCATGCCACTTGTAACCTATTAGTTTTTTTAACTTCTTTGAAGTTCCTACACATATTTGAAATGGTATGTTTTAGCCTTTTAGGTATTTTGTAATTGGAAACTTTCACTTCCCTGAATGTTGTGTGTAGTGCTTCAGGATTGAAATCATGTTATTTTACATTTCTCTAAGATAATTGCTTGGGTAGAGAATGAGGGAGATCTTCCGAATAACTCAATTGCTGGTTCCAAGCACGAAATAGTCTACAACATTTTATGCTGGTTTTGCACTTTCTCCTGCTTAGCTTAGCTTAGCATGAAGGATAATATCCATTTTTCTTTTTCCTTCTGTGGCACCAAGCATGTTTCTTTTTTTTATCATTAGAGCGTGTTGTTATAATTGAGAATGCACGAGTTATTGTTGCTTCTTCAGGAAAGTAAATTGAGTAAGTGTCATAGTGGATTATTGAGAAAGATGGGGGGCAGTTTACTGAAGGGTAAATGTGTTCAGCAAGCTGTTGGCTCGGCAGGTGGCTTAATTTGTCTATGGAATGAGGATTTTTTCGAAGTCAGTAGGGAACATACTCATAACAGATTCATTGCATTATCAGGGAGGTTTAAGGTGTTAAACTTTGAATGTGTGATTATCAACGTGTATGGTCCAGCTGTCGAAGTTGATAAGGACGATTTTTTCAGAGAGTTGTTGTGTTTTGTGCAAAGTTTGCATTTGCCAGTTTGTTTGGGGGGGGGGGGACTTCAATGCGTATCTAGATTCAGAGGAAAAAATTGGAATGGCTCAAAATTGGCATTCTATGGGTCTCTTTAACTACTTTGTCCAAAATCTTAATCTTATGGATCTGTCGTTAATTGGAGGGAGATTTACTTGGTGCAATAATAGGGAGGCTTCAACATGGATAAGACTAGATCGGTTCCTTATTAGTGTTGCTTTCTTCCAGAAATTTCCAAAAGTTAGTCAGAAATTGTTACCGAAATCCTTATCTGATCATAATCCTCTGGTGCTACAAGAAGATTTCAAGAATTGGGGTTCTAAGCCTTTCCGTTTTTTCAACTATTTGCTAGAGGAAGATGGGTTTGCGGGGGTGGTCCAGAATTCAATTTCCAATTTAAAGGAGAATAGCCGAAGGGGACTGCTTAGTATTCTTCAAGGAACAAAGAAAGTGATTAAAAAGTGGCCTATCAATAATAATATGGAGATTTCTGAACAGATTTCAGATCTGGAAATTAAGATTAATGATTTGGAATTGAGGTTACAGGGTGGGGGGTCTTCTGCTCTGGATTGGGGTCAACTAGTGCTTTGGAGGAATGATTTGTGGGAGTTGCATAGGAAAGAGGAAAGCATATGGTTTCAAAAGTCTCGACTCAAGTGGATAAAGGATGGGGATAGAAATACCAGATTTTATCACTTATGTGCTCTCAATAGGAATAGAGTGAATGCCATTTTGACGCTGAAAGTAGATGGGGTAGATATTACTGATCCGAGTCTGATTAGAGCGGCTATCGCAGATTATTTTAGAGTTAATTATAATGCAATTTCATCTTTGGAGGTGGATGAAATCAATCTGAATTTTTCTAAACTGGCTGAAGAGCAAAAGGAGGGCTTAGAGGCTATTTTTTCTGAACAGGAAGTGTGGGAAGCTGTTTTTTATTCGGACAGTGCTAAGGCACCGGGTCCGGATGGGTATAATATGGGTTTTTTCAAAATAATTTGGTCTATATTGAAGGATCCTATCATGAAATTTGTTCAAGATTTTCACAAAGGTAAAAGTTGGGAAAATGGGGTTAATCACTCTTTTATTACTCTAATCCCCAAAAAAGTGAATCCAGTGGGCATTGAGGACTTCAGACCCATTAGTCTTGTTGGCAGTCTATACAAAATTATTTCCAAAATTCTATCCAAAAGGCTTGTTGCGGTTATCAAAGGTTTGGTAAGTCCTTCGTAGTTTGCATTTATTCCGGGTAGGCAATTGATAGAATGTGCCCTTTTGGAAAATGAAGGCATTGAATATTGGAGAAAATTAGGGAGGAAAGGAGCTGTCTTCAAAGTTGATTTCCGTAGGGCTTATGATTCGGTTGAATGGCCTCTTTTATTGAGAGTTTTGAAGGCTATGGGTTTTGGGGAAAAATGGATTTCATGGATTGATTGTTGTGTCTCTACAGCCTCTATTTCGGTGCTAGTGAATGGCTCTCCTATTGAGGAATTCAAAATTAGTAAAGGGTTGAGACAAGGTTGCAGTTTGTTCCCTCTCTTGTTCAATTTAGTTGGTGAATTATTAAACCTAATGCTAATCAAGGCTGTTGGTTTAGGTCTTTTTCAGGGGTTTAGCATCGGTAGGGTTGACAATTCCTTCCATTTGACTCATTTGCAGTTTGCAGATGATCTAATCCTTTTCTGCAGGGATTCTCCAATGTAGATTTTAAATATTAGGAGGGTTTTGAGGGTGTTCGTTGTTATGTCAGGGCTGCATTTAAACTTGTCGAAGAGCACTTTGTTTGGTGTTAATTTGGATGCTGACACGATAATGGATTGGGCTATGAAAGTGGGTTGTGGTGTGGGGTATTTTTCCATGACATACCTTGGTTTGCCGATAGGTTCAAGGAAGAACTCCGAGGGTACGTGGGCTCATGTAATCCAGAATTTTAACAAGAGACTAGCAGGTTGGAAAGCTAATTCTTTATCGTTGGCGGGAAGACTCGTTTTGATAAAATCTGTGTTGTCCTCCTTGCCGATTTTTTTTCTATCTATTTTCAAATTACCTCTCAAAGTGACTCAGAAGTTGAACTCTTTGATGGCTAATTTCCTTTGGGGTGATGACCAGGTTAAGAAACGAATTCATTGGGTGAATTGGAAAACAGTTTGTCAACCTCTCGAAGGAGGTTTGGGAATCCTTGATTTGAGTATGATTAATAGGGTACTACTTGGGAAATGGGTGTGGAAATTTGCCAATGAAAAGAATAGTCAATGGAAAAGGTTGATTTGCTGCAAAAAAAAAGTTAGTAATCTGTCTCTTTCTATTTCTAGTGCGGCTTCTCCTTTAGATTCTTGGATTTGGAGGGGTATTATGAGTAGTTATGCGAAAAATGATAAGATTGGAAACTATTTGAGAGATAATTCAAAGATCCAAGTGGGAAATGGTAGGTCGATAGCTTTCTGGACTGATGTTTGGGTTACTAATTTGTCTCTAAAAAACCATTTCTCCAGAATTTTTGCTTTGTCGATCAATAAATGGGGGAAGGTATCTGAGTTTGGTGAGTTTGTAGACAATGTTTGGGTCTGGAATATTCAACTTAGAAGGAACCTTTGTGATTGGGAATTGGACCAGTGGATAGATTTAATGTCGTTGATTGACTCTATTAAGCTTTCGGGTTCGGTGGATGATTTTCTGGGTTGGTCGGGGAAGGGGGATGGCATGTTATCGGTCAAGTCCTGTAGATTGACGTTATATGATAGTTCTGAAGGGAGTTTTGAGTGGAATAAGTGGGTGTGGGCTGAATTGGCACCTCCTAAAGTTCAAACTTTCTTGTGGCAGCTTTGTCATCGTAAGTTAGTAGTGAGAGTGGAATTAGTTAAAAGAGGGATTCCCATGGCGGATGTGCTTTGTCCCTTTTGCCACTCCCATGATGAAACCATAGAGCATCTGTTCCTTTTGTGTTCTGTTGCTAGGGAAATTTGGACAAAATTTCTAAGGTTATGGGAAATCCTTTCTGTTCTGCCGCAAGATCCAACCTCCCTTCTCTGTTCGTGGCCGTACCTTAGCTGAATTCTGCTATTTGGAAGTTCATACCGGCAGTTGTTTTCTGGTCGGTTTGGAAGGCGAGGAATCTGGTCGTGTTTGAAAATGGGAAACTAGACAGCTCGGGTCTGTATTTTATAATTAGATTCAAGTTGGCTAAGTGGTTTCTAGCTAAACACCCTAATGTTCAGATTCAGACCGACTTACTAGTTGGGGATCCTTCACGGGCTGATAATGTTCATCGTCCTACTACTCCAAAGAAGATTTTTGAATGGACTCCTCCTCCAACGGGTGCGTTTAAATTTAATGTGGATGGGTAGTTAATGGAGATGGGATGCAAGGTGGAATAGGAGGTATTTTGAGAGATTCTAACAGCGTGTCCCTGGCCTCTTTCTCTACTGCAGTAGGGCCTGGTCTTTCTACTTTGGCAGAACTGAAAGCAATTAAGGAGGGAATTGACCTTTTCTATTCATCTGATTGGGCTAAAAAGGGAAGGTTAATTGTAGAGAGTGATTGCAAAAATGCAGTGGAGTGGATTTTAAAACTGCAATATACACCAGTTTTTTTCAGTGACTTGGTGGAGGAAATTGGGGCTGCAATTTTTGATAAGGGCTGTGTTCTAAAATGGATTCCTAGGAGTTGTAATTTGGAGGCTGACAGGCTAGCTAAGCAGGGGATCGGTCGAGTGTAGATGCCCTTTTGATGTTTGTTTTCTGTCTTTCATTCGGACTGTATAGGCTCTTTTTTTGTACTAATTTTGCTAGTTTGGTAACCAGGACTCAGCATTACTTCTTAGGAACTTTCTTAGGAGGTTTTGTCTTAGTTAGTGTTGGTGTTTTTTGTTGTTTTAGGGCACTGTATGGTTTTTTTGCTTTAGATAGGGGTGTTGTTCTGGTTGTATTTTTATGTACTTAAGCTGTGGAATGAAATCCTAAGGCACTCTTTTCCTCCTTCCAATGAGTTTTTAACGAGGTCTTCAATTCTTATAAAAAAAAAAGAATGCACGAGTTATCATTCTTTTCTATTTTCTGCACAAAAATAGTCCCAACTAACCATATCATATTCTTGTATGCTTATGAGCATGATTGTAGGGTTTTGAGGCATATGTTGGACTACTATTGCTCAAGACTGCATTTGTCGGTGTTGTTTCCGAATGGCAGGTAGGTTTTCTTTTGCTCCTCATAGTTTCTCTTCATGTATTTATACAACTTAAAAAAGGGGTTACACGTAGAAATAACCTAACCAATGATGGAAAGTTGGGTTTTGGCAGATAATATTTTGTGGGATCATTTTGGTTCTTATGGCTGTTGGGAACTTTGTGAACACAGTACAGACACTCATGGCAAAGTCAAGGTTTAAGGCAAAGATGAAAAGCAGTAAGAGCAAGCAGGAGTTGAAGTTAAGTTAGAGTCTTGCTATTTGTTAGGTTAACCTTATTTGGACTTTTATACTGTCGTATATATTCTGTTTTTTGTTTCTTTGATGTTTCCGGTATCACCAGAAATGTTTGTTTTAGAAGAGGCAATGAAATTTTATTTTTCAATTCCATAGACCATCTTTCATGTATGAAGCTATTGATTTTTTTTTTTTAATTTTATGAAGGAAGAACACAAACTTAGACTAGTCAACTACGCATATCCAATTAATTTGGATCGAATCACTTTGAATTTAAAATTTTCAGGTTAACGTTGAGTTTGAATTATTTTAGGCTTAGATCAATTTTGAGTTCATGGTTGACTCGATCCGTACAATCTAGCAACTTGTGTGACTCCTTACATCAGTAGTATTCTAGTAGTTTCACTTCTACGGTTATACCCTTTGTTTGACCATTTCGACTCCTGCAACAGCGTCATATTTTGTTACTTTTCCTTTTGGCCAGTCATCTCCACTGATGATGGTAGTAAGACGATTCTTCTTAGGATTGTCTCTCATCAAGTACGGATCATCATAAAAGTAGCATTTTAACGGCTTGCTCTCTTCATTTCTCACTGGTGTTGGATTTGGTGTTGTCATTTCCATATAACGATTTTCCATAAAATTATCTTTTGATGACTCCATTGCCATTCGTAGAGCTTCCTTCATTGTCACTTGACTGTTTCTCATTGTTTCTCCCACCATTGCCTTTTGCCTCGGGGCTTGAAAGATTTAGTCCTAGTCGACTTGTTCCTATCAAGCTCAATAAGCGATTCAACGACAATTATGACTTTTAAAAGGCTATGGACCCTTCTCTGTTGCAACTCTGGCTTCACCAATAGTCCTGGTCCACCTAAGAAATAGAGTGCATCGCCCTCATTCAAAGATATTTTAGACGTCTCAACTTAGAGTGAGGTCTCGTCTTTATCATACTCGAAGAAAAACTACTCTTTGAATTCGACTTGAAACTCCCTCCATGTTTTAAAGCAAGTAATATCATACCTCTCGTCGGTGCAGCAAGTGATACCATACCTCTCGTCGGTGCACTTATGATACCACAATAATAAAGCAATATCAGTCGAATAATCAGAAGTAATATTTATCTTGGAGACATTCTCCTCAATGCTCATAGTTTAAAAGTATTTCTCGCACAAGAAATTCTTCACATTTTGAGCCGATCTAGTCTCCTTGAACCCTCTCAACTTTGGGATATTAATATGGTGTTTGGGTGCCCCAGCTAGCATCTTACTAGTCATTGGGGTTTTACGAATTCGCAAACCCCCCTTGTGCTCGTCCATCTCCTTTGGTTCATGGTGGGCAAGTCACTGTCATGACTTCGAGAGCATCACTCCTTTGATTAATGGTATCTACAAACTGATTGATGAGAAATTGCATCCCAGCTTTGAACTCCTCAAGGCATGCATCCGTCACCTTAGGGGTGTTTGGTTCAAGGATTGTGGGATTCCCATGATGGGAATCTCACATTCCCATGTTTGGTTGGCTGGGAATCTCATTCCAGGTAATGTTTTATTACCAATAGTAGATTTTTTGGGGTATATTATCGGGAATGTCATTACCTCCCTTCCCTTAGGTATTGTAACATTATCGGCTTTTTGGATTAAAATGCCCTTAATTTTTTTTCTCAAAAATATTCTTCTGTCATTGAATAATAAAAATTCTACGAAGGTTAAATTACAAATTTATCCTTAAATTATTTTAGATTTACAAAAAAATAAGTCTATAATTAAAATTTTATATGAAGTTCAGGGGTTAAAATTTTTTTTACCCTTTCATTAAACCTTTCTTATATTTTTAATTTTGTAAAAAAAATTATATAAATATTATGAATTTAATTTTTTAAAGAAAATATATAAATATTTTACAATTTGTAATATTATACAAATATATAATAAGGACAATTTGGTCAAATATACATTCCAATAATGTTCTATTCTTTTAACCAAACACGGTAATCTTACATTCCTGCTAAACCAACCAAACACAAAATACAACATTCCCAGTAATCTTATTCCCTGGTAATCTTTTATTCTCACTGGTAATCTTACATTCCGTAAACCAAACGCACGAGTTTCTATTGCATCCTCATGAACTTTTCGAGTCGAACCAACCTCTCTTCCAATGATGTCATTGACTCCCTCGTATTTGCCCTATTTTGTTTTCCATCACGAGTTCTCATCTCTTGTGCGGAAACATCAGCTTTCTGTTGTGTCATCTCGATTAACATTTAACCCACACATTAATTATGATATCAACTATCATAGGTCTTTGCAACGAACCTTATGATCTTAGACGATGGATTGATGTTTAAGTCAGTTTCCAAAACAATTTTGTGAGAATCTTAAATTTTTCAAGGGACTCAAAAGCACTAAAAAGGTAATGAGCGAAAAGTTAAAGCACAAAGGAAAAAACAAACAATGTAAAGAGACAACATGAGAACATTAGAATAAATGTTTTCTATTACTCAGATTAGGGGTAAGCGTTTGATCAACTCGAGTCATTTAAAAAAAGTTTGAGTTATCCGAGTTGATGAGTCATATTTTATAACTCGAAGTTGACTTAAAATTTTTTCGAATCGAGTCGAATTTGAGTTTCTTTTTAAATTTAACTATAAATATTTAAAATATTATGATATTATTTGATTCCAATTTAAATATTTTTTTATAACCATATACACTACATATATATTTCTTCATTTTTTTTCATATGTGATATATATTATATAATACAAAGTCGAGGGACTCGACTCAACTTGAAAATCAATCCACTAATTACTAAACATTTTGAGTTATTTCAGTTGTATTATACAACTCGATTTAAACTTGAACTTTTTCGAGTCAAGTCGAGTTTATGAAATTACAACTTAGAGTAAATTTGAATCGAGTTTTTCGAGTCGAGTTAAAAAATCGATTCTTCGAGTCGAATTTTACTCACCTCTAACTTTGGAAAATAGATGGATGATACAAATATCGATGGATTTGAAGTTTTATATGTTTAAGTCTGGATTATATTGTGTTTTGATAAGGTTTTGAATTATTTTAAATTCTGTTTAGATTTTTAGGTTTGGATTATTTCAGATTCTTGTTTCAGATTTTATATCATTTCGAGTTTAAAATAATTGGGTTCTAGTTTCTTTGGATTTAATCAATTTATTTTATATCCTTTACTCAATCTTGGGTCTCGCTAGTCTCAAGTTAAAGGGTTAGCTTAGGTAACTTTCCGTCATTCCTTAAATTAAATTAATAATATAAATTTATTATCTTTTAACTTAGAGTTAATTGCACCATATGTCCCTAAACTATGGTCCATATTTTAAATTGGTCACTAAACTTTTGAACATTCTAATTTCATCCTCAAACTATGCTTTCGTTTTAAATTAGTCCCAGAACTTTTGAACATACCAAATTCATCCCCAAACTATAACCCTCATTCTATATTGATCCATGGACTTTTAAATATTCTAATTTCAACTTTGAAGTTTTGAATGATTTAGAAGGATATTATTGTAGTGTTTAAAAGTTTGGGGAGTAATTTAGACTAAGGGTCATAGTTTGAGGATGAATTTGGAATGTTAAAAAATTTGGGGACCACTTTAGAATGAGGGTCATCTTTTAGGGATAAAATTAAAATGGTCCTAAGTTTACGGATCAATTTAGAATAATAGTTATAGTTTGAGGATGTATGCTGCAATTAACTCTTTAGTTTATAATTCATATAATTTATAATTAATTTATGGCTTAATAAACTTTTAAGTGACTAAACGATATATTGAAATACGATTTGGTGTCTAAGGAATTTTTTTGCTAATAATAGGTGCCTAATATTGCAACCATAATAATTTTAGGTGTTCGGACCATAACCATCATTAAATTTAATCGTTTCGTCTCACATTTTGATAATTTCAAAAAGAATATTAAAAACAAACTTGAAAAATTTATTTTATTTATAAAAAATCCATAATTTATCTAAATTACAAAAAAAACTTTAAATCCCTAAAATCATCACCAATTCTCAACCCTAACCCTTTTTCCACCCTTGCCACCAATGGCCACTGACGCTAGCTTCACCATTGCCATCTCCAAACAACCCGACAACCAGCCACCAATGAACCCATTAATGACTGGTCGTCACTCAATCCCCTAAATTTCTAAACCTACATCTCTAAAATCCCAAATATTCAAATCCCTCAAAATTTCTTAAACTCCTTTGGCTGGCCGTTTGGGTAGTTGCAGTCGATGGGGTGTTTCGACAGTAGTAGTCGGGTCAATCGATTGGGGGCAGTGACAGTTTTTCGATCGTTGTCTTCTTCAACTTGTCTGCTTTAGTGCGAGGGAAGGGGGAGATAAGGGGACGAGGTTGGGGTGAGATCTAGGAGAAATTTCTTTTTCTAAAAAAATGTTTTTTTAATTCAAAATAATTTTTTTTAAATTATCAAATTAAGACACATGTCATTTAACAGTCAACTTTAATGACGGTTATGGCTCAAACATCTAAAATGATTACGGTTGTGACGTTAGGCACCTATTTTTAGTAAAATTTACAACTCAACTGATACGCCTTAAATTTTAAACCATAAATTCAAAAAATTAGTGTTAAACTTAAATCTTAAAATATAAAAATTGCATTTGAAGCACAATTTTTATATTTATTTAATGTTATGAAAGTGGAGATAAAAGAATGGCATGTTGGTAATTATTAAGATTCATTAAGGGTAATATGGACTTTAAGGATTAAAATGAATTTTAAATTCATTAAATACAAGTGTCCATGAGATTTTTGTGTGGAAACTTCAAGAAATTTTTTTCTCTTCCCCAAGTTTTTGCCGTGAGATCTAAGGTGAGGGAAAAAGTTCTTTTCCATTTTTGATCTATTTTATTAGGATTTATGACTAAATTGTAATGAGAAAACATCTACATTAGATTCTCTTTCTTTTGGTGTAAATATTTTCATGTTTCATGCTTGAATTGTTGAGTTCATGAAATATGTGGATGAAGCGGAAGTCTAATTTCAATGATTTAAAGTTGGTTTTTGATGTTAAAAGTGTTATGGAATGGGAATCAAACATGAAAATTGATTGGAATCAAGTAGAAGTTCATGAATAAGGTTTGACCA